GGCGGGGGAGCGACGGGAGGCGGCGGCCGCCCTCCTGCTGCCCTTGCTCTCAGCAAGGGTGAGGTTTAGCTTCGCGTTTCGGGAGGAAGGGAAGGGGAAATGCAAAGTTATCCTCGGGTCTCAGTCAGCAGAGCAGCACATACCATAATGAGAGGAGCTGCTTTGCTTAAAAGCCTGCGTCAGAGCAGAAAGACGCACAGGGCTCAGAAAGGAGATTCTGGCATATTAGGGGCTCGCCTGCAGTTTCCAACTTCTCCTTTTTTTGGTGCATAATGCACCCTAAACCCACAAATTAAGGGCTACCGAAAATTAAGAGGAACCAGGGTGTCAGACAGAATGCAGCAGTTGGGCGGAGGACTTTCCGGCACAGCCCACCTTCTCTAGGGGCACCGGTACTCGGGCAGGGGGGAGGCGAAAGGGGCAGCCCACGTCCCAGCAGGACCCCAGCACCTTGGGATGGCAGATGACAGCCCCTTCTGCGGGCGGGTTCGGGCAGCGCAGCAGCAGGGTGCGGTCCCGCCGGGACTAGGTGCCTGCGAGGCCTGGGCCGAGGCCTGGGCGCTAGGCCTGAGCCGGGACGGCGCTGCCCCCCAGGCCCTCAGCCTTCTGCGGGGGGTGCGACAGCCGGTCCCTCAGATCAGGCTCCGGGGGAGAGATAAGCGAGGACACGTCTGATGATAGCGGTGAGCCAGGCTTGTTGCAGATCCCAAACAGCTGAGGGCTGCAATGAGCTTCCCACCCTTGGTGGAGGATAGTTAAGCAGGGTGTTGTTGCTATCTAAATGTTGCAATAAGCCACCTAGTGAGTCTTCAGAGAGCTTTGGACTCAAAGAAATGGCTGAGATCTGTTACTGTGCCAGGGTGTCCCTATCCAAATGATAAACACGCTGAGATTCTTTCAAACTGTGGCTCTTTGCACCAGATGCCACACCTGGGCATGCAGCCGTGGTGCACAGCTGGTGGGACGGACCCTGCCCTGGCACTCGTGTCCCTGGGATGTCCCGGGTACTGTCCGAGACAGCCTGTCCAGGCTGTGAGCTGCAGGGCGCCTGCACAGAGAGGAGGGAAGCACCCTGGGCCATTGCCCCAGCGGTGGGAATGGGGAGGAGGACAGGAGACACTGGGCATGCCGACCCAAGCGGTGGGATTTCATCCATGGAGCATCATTTGGTGACAGGCTTTGCTGCTGGTAAGCGGTTGGTTCCCATAACCAGTTTCATGTTTCTTCAGCAATGATTTGTGAATAACAAGTAACATCACCCATCAGATGAAGTTTTTGATGAGGTTTGTCTGACATTCAGGAAAACACGTCTGGCAAAACATGGCCTAATTCTGATGAGGCTATTTCATAAAAAAAGCAAAAATGCAATTTTTCCAATAGTGGAGTTTTCATTCTTGGCTCATGGAGACAGTTCTGAGCTCTACACTAAGACCATCAAGCAGTGACTGCAATGGGAAATACAGCTTGATATTGCTAATTTGAAATGAAATGTTTATGATTAGTTTAATGAATTCAGATGAATTTCTCTTCCAATGACAACTATTTCTTTTTAATTAACACTTTAAAAAATTTCAATGTTTCTGAATTCATTTTCTCAGAAATAATCTTCGAAACAGCATTATTTGTAACAAGCCGTGTTATCTCCCTGACTGATTTTTGAAGGCAGTGTAGGAAAGGCAGGGTTTGCCCTATCCTTTTGCAAAGCTTTAAGTTGCCATTTGCTAAAGGTTTGCACAGCACATGGAAGTCCAGGGCCTATTCCTATCTGAAACATCTAGATACTACTGGAACAGAAATACTGAGTAATATGTAATAGAATTGTAAATTATATGGCATAATGCTGCCCCTACAATAAAATCTCAGATAAGATTCCCTCTTTGAGGTCCTACTTTACTGTGCTAACATTATTTAAGGCTTACAAGTCCTCCAAATAGGTCTCTCTCACTGCTAATGGTCTTAGATATTGCACAAAAATCCACTTCTCACTCTTTCCATGCTGAAAAAATTTTGAAATATGAAAATTTTCCATTACTATAATTAGAGTCGTGCCAATATAACATAGCTCTATATTGTAAAGTGCTATATCTTAAAATAAACTTAAGCGATTACTACGTTGAAATATGTACCAAATAGCCTAAGAGTAGGCATAGTCTAGAAATGCAGATATTCTTTGGTATAACACAGTATCTTCATTAAGAGAAGGGAAAACTGCCTGAGCAGCTGGTGTGCAGAAGTCACAGCTGCCAGGCCAAATCCTGCCTCAAGCATGACACAAGCAGTGCCAGTGATTTAATGGAACTTGTTTGTGTGAATTACAGTTACCGGGCTTGGTTCTAGGCAGAGAACATGAATTTAATTTGTTTTCAGAAAATAACACCCAAGATTTCTCCCTACCACCTTTTAAGCAGGGAAATTTATTCCCCAAGTGCTTCGAAGAGGAAAAGCTAGTTTCTGAAGTTATTTGCAGTGTTTTGCAACGTACATGTTGTTTCAGGGTCCCTATTTAATAATTTCTTAAACCTATCTCTGAGATAGCACTTCATATATTTTTCCAAATCAATGAAACATGATAGAAATACTAGCTGTCCTATTCACGTATCTGTACAAAACAACTGATCCGTGAAAGTATATTAATCAATATCAGAAGCAAACATTTAATGTTTTCCAACTCTAACGCTATATTGATGAGCTTTTACCAGGGAGGGGTCCAAGTTTAAGACATGACTAATTCTGGCTCCAGGGAATGTGTGTTAGTGTGATTTCAGCTCAGTTTTATCTTTTGCTCAGCAAAAATAGCCCAGGCTAACTGGCTGGAGTTAGGATAGCCACTCACACCAACTACCCCAACAATTTTTAAAGTAACTTTTTTTGTTTCAGGTAGTCGGGAATCTGCTTTTGTACATGCCATCTCCTCTGCTGGAGTTGTTTTTGCCATCACCAGGGCATGTAGCCAAGGGGAGCTGAAATCCTGCTCCTGCGATCCCAAGAAGAAAGGCTCTGCCAAGGACAGCAAGGGCCATTTTGACTGGGGTGGCTGCAGCGATAACATCGATTATGGTGTTAGATTTGCCAGAGCCTTCGTGGATGCCAAAGAACGGAAAGGAAAAGATGCAAGAGCACTGATGAACCTTCACAATAACAGAGCTGGAAGGAAGGTGGGTGTGCATCCAACAGATGCCTGGAGATACTCTAGTGAGCTCTCACAGGTCTGGTGCTGGTAACAGTTGGCCCTTGCTGACTGGTCTCAGCAGTTGGGAAGAAGTAAGGGATGAGAGGGAGCCTGAGATGCTATTTCTGTCTCCTTTGGAGGTTCAGAGTGGCAGAGATCTCCAAACAGACTGAGTGCACCTGCTTAACAGTGCTCCCATCTGAGTCAGCCTAGTGGTTCCTTGTGTGGGAAGTTAAGCACGAGCCCAAGTAATTGCTGGATCATTTTGGAGCGAGGTTTTGTTTTGAGCCTAATCCTTACATATGGAGGTGTTTTACTTTTAGTTAGTATAGAATACAAATTCCTAAAGGAGGCTGAAGACCACACCGAAGAACAGGCTTGTGTATTAAAGAGCAAATTCAGAATAGCATTGGAGAATAAAACCTTCCTGTCCATTCTTGTATGTATATGGTAAACTTAAACGCAAAATGAGCAGAAATAAAATAAAATTACTTCACTTAAAAAAACAAAAAGATTCAAAATACTTGGCCCTTCAAAAGGCATTGGCCTTGGGACATGATGTGCTCTAAACAAGCCCCTTTTCTATACATTGTATGAAAATACCGTTCTTCAATTTTAACAAAAGGAATCCTTGCTCTTTTACTGTAGGTGAGTAGAAGGAGTAGTTGCCAGGCATATTGCCCACTGCTGGTGCAAGGGCTGAGAAATACATGAACTGACATTTTGTGGTGGTACCTATAAATTGTAAGAATAGTGCATGAAACTGAAATACACTGTTTCATTATTCAAAACATATTCAAAATTTTCTGTATCCATGACATCTGAAATAATACAGAAAAATATTTTATAGTGCTAGATCAAGCACTGCTAAAATGACTTGCATAGACTTCTTGTTCCTTGTCTTTGGTTTTCCTTTGCTTATATTCAGTAGGAAATAAATTGTTCATATTCTGATCTTTTTATATTAAAAAGTTCCCTTTAAAATTGTTCTATATTAACTAGCCCTTTAGAATAAAAGATCTAATTTTAATGAATTCTACTGCAAGTAGATGATTTTTCTGATAAATATTTCTCCTTCAACATCTTATCTCCACCTGTTTATTACCAGCAGGTGTAATTAATATGCAATATAGACAGATGAGGCTATTCAGATCAGTGACATGCATATACAATACTATGGCTGTATTTATGTTACTGTCCAAAAGATACTGCAGTCTACCACACAAGCGAAGACTATAGGGATGATTTAGTTCCATACTGGGAAGTAATTTGTGTAATGGTTGAGTATCTTAGTAAGTTTTAAAAAATCATATGCCAAACAATAAGACAGTATTGGTAAGCAGGTAGGTTTTTTAGAAAAAGATCAAGAGACTTTAATAAACATATTCGATTAAAAATAAGCAACACATTGTCATATACTCTGGGACCTGCTTTAAAGAAAGGGATGCTAGTTTGTATCCACAGTGCAATAGCACAGGTTTTGCTTTGCAGGGATCTCACTACCTCAGCCCATCCGCAAGCCTGGCATTCAGATCTAAGTAGGACCAGCTCTGCCTTCAGTTTTTTCTCACCCCCAAAAGGGGTGTTGATAGGTTTCTTTTAAAACTAGACTATTGGATTTTACTAATTCAAAAATACATAGAATAAATATTTATAATATTCCCACGTGAATCATACAAAATAATATGTTTTGTATCAGTACAGGAACATCACTGACAAAAAGAAATCCTGCATTCCTGTGTGCTTCTTCCACTCTTCCAGCAAGTTGTTTTAAACGTACAAGTAGTTAAACTGATTTCTACTCAGATAATTAAAAGCAAGCATCTGCCTAAATCCCTGTTTTGTGATAGTACCATTGGCAATAAAGTGGAGTTGTTGGAATATCAGTGACTTCTTTGAAGTAGTCATATTGTTTACAAGATGGAAAGAAAATTAAAAGTACTTTGGTTTTATAATATGTTCTCCCTTTATTATTAAGTGCTTGACTGAAAAATGCTGCCTTGCTGTGCATCAGTCTTGCTTCTAATCATGGAGGTTTCCTCTCTCTTACCTTCCTCCCATGATGCTGTTTCTTTTGTACAAACTCCAAAATGTTCATATTTCATGAACCCTTAAGGCATAATATTTTTAGATCAAATATCCTTATCTTCAGAATTAGGAATGAATTATTTATTGTATATGAACCCATCTGTTGTTCTCCAACATCATACAGATAGCTTAAATGTCTGAAATGAAGATGAAATGGCTTTAATGCTATCAAGACATTAAATTAGTGATGAAGATGATCTCTCCAATGCAAGCTAATTAAGGTCTTATTCTAAAATGTTTCTTAAAACATTTATAAGCATTTTAAAAATACCGTATTTTAACATTTTGCATAGGCCTGATGCCCAGCCCAGGTACAATGCTTTGTACAGTCTCTGTAAAATCATTTAAATATAAATTGTTGATGAATTTCTGGGCAATATTTGAAACACTATTCAGGGCAAAAGGCAACTTCACAAGGGTGAGCTAGAGAGGGTCAGCATGGTGATGCTTCAGCTGGAATGATGGGGCAAGGGGCTACGTTCAGTGATTCTGCCCATTTCCCAGATGGTTTCCTCCTGCCCAGCCTGTGTCCTAGCGCTATGGATCATCTTGATCCTCGGGATGACTGGCAGGGGCGGGGAAGGTAAGCCCACCATCCACAGGATTGTGTGTACGGTTGAGTCAAGCAACCAGAGCAGGCCAACCATGTGGGGATGACTTGATGCTACCAGTGGGTGTCACTACAGACCGTGATTTGGAGACCCATAGCAAGCCTGGCATTACAGGATGACTGGAAAAGGGCTGAGAAGCATGAATTGCAGTTTGTTTTACCTGCGTATATTTTACTGCGTTTCTAAACAGGCCGTGAAGCGGTTTTTGAAGCAGGAGTGCAAATGTCACGGTGTGAGTGGATCATGCACTCTAAGGACCTGTTGGCTGGCCATGGCAGACTTTAGGAAAACAGGAGATTATCTGTGGAAGAAATACAATGGAGCGATTCAGGTGGTCATGAATCAAGATGGCACGGGTTTCACTGTGGCTAACAAGAGATTTAAGAAGCCGACTAAGAATGACCTGGTATACTTTGAAAGCTCTCCAGACTACTGTATCAGGGACAGGGATGTAGGTAAGCCTCTGTTGTTACACATGAATGGTTTTATTTCAGACATTTGTACTTTAAAGGTCAAAAATTATCATTATTATTGAGTGAGAGTGTGTGTGTGTGTGTGTGTGTCTGTCTGTCTGTCTGTCTGTCTTGCAAAAGCTGCTTTTAGGACAGTGTGAGTTATGCTCTGAAGTCAGGTCCATACCGTACACAGCCACATGCACACTTATATCAGACACCTCCCTCCAGAGCTGCCAGATGTAACTATGGCAGCCCCAAGTCCCATGATGTCCCTTATAATAGCACCTCCTGTTGCATTTCTTCTCTTCCATATTGTTATGCTACTGCTGCAGACTTTTATCTGCACATCTCCCGCAGCTCACTGTGGACCGTGGAGCCCTTCGCTGTAGACACACCTTTCCCCTTCGGTAATGTAGGAGGTACGGCAGCTTGGTGCAAACTGTGCTTTCACCAGTCAATGCAGCTGTGGGTAACAGTGCAAGGCAGCTGGAGAACGTGCAGGTGGATGACATGATAGAAGTTGGTGGGGCACAGCACAATGCACTGAGCAACACAGCTGTTCCTTCCTCTTTATGGGACGGTGTTAGCTCTGTTCATGATAACCGTCACATTTGCTGAAGCGTTGTGCCAGCCCCAGAGGGAAGAGGTAAAGTTTCAGGGCTGCTATTAACACTGAAATTTTCTGCTTTCAGAGATTTCAATAGGGATGCACTTAACAGTGTTACAGGATTCAAGGAACTGCCAAGTACCAGGAATCCTGCTAACAGTTGTTAACCCATGTATAGTATTTCCTGATGTGGCAAGTAAAAACTAGCAACTAGAAAACCAGGAATTTGGAAAAGAAAGCCAGACTGAGTAATGTATGAAAGATGTTGTGGAACTAATTAATAGGTTGTATAACGTACCAGATTGCACCCGGTATGACATATCTGTAAGTATCTGGATAGCAATGCGGCTCAACACTTTTTGGCATCGCTGCATATTTACAATCCAAGTTTACTTGGAATAAGCATTGCAAAACAACTGTACTTAAATAAGAACAATATGTGAAATTCTGGTCATGTACTATTGACTTCAGTGAACCCAGAATTTCATCCAGTACACTTACGTTGTAAAGTGTTTCTGGTTAGTTGAGCAGTCAAGGTAATTTTAAATGTTATTTATGGCTTTGCAGGTGATGCTTATTACCTGCACAAGCACATATTGTTCCTTGAATAGTAACCAGTATTGTAAAGTCTAATACTTTAATCCAAGTGAAAAAATGGGCATATTGTGGCATTGTGCAGAGACTAGCTTTGCAAACTAGGATTTATTCAAAACTTTATTGCTTGAAGTTTTCTCGTTCATTGTAAAACCCATGATTTCTTCCCCCCAAAAAGGAGACTCTTTACACAACCACTTCTATGTCAAAAAGCTGTTTAATAATCTCTTTGTACTAAGCCTAATCTCATCTGTCAGTCTTGTTATCGTGGAGGAAAGTGGGCATTTTTCATCACAGTGTATTATGCGCGCTTGCCTTATGCTGTCAAGCCTGCCCAGAGATGACGGTCTGACACGTGCTTTGGCTTAGCTCAAGATAAGGCTGTGGATGAGGTGGTGTTTCTTTGCTGCCCAGAATTCAGAGAATGTTGCTGTTTGGAAGAGCACATTTTTGGCAAGCCACAGTAAACCTTTAACAGGATGCAGGATGCCCTGCTGCTTGCATGGAGCAAAGAAAGAATCAGACTAACAAAACCTGATCTGGCTTTGAGAGAGGTCATTTTAGCAGTTGAGCAGGCCTTTTTGCTTTATGAACTTTGGTTTGCCCTGTCGAGCACTCCAGATTGCCAGCCCTGTTAAAGGACTAGAAATGAAATGAGATTATGGAAGTCTGAGTCTGGAAATAGGTGGGGAGCATCTCAGTGTCAGCTAAATCTAATACACAGCTCTTTAGTATGTCCTTGAATACAGTTCTGCCTTTCATTCTCTGGGGAATTCAAGAAATTTAGTGCTTCAGGAAAAAAAAAAATCAAATCTGGAGATTGGTTAGTGTTGGGACTGAATAAAAGATTCCCAGAGCAAATCATATGAAGTGTCACAACTTGACTGGGAGACAGCTACAAAATCTGTAAAATGACCAAGGCAGTGTCCTCTGTGGTTGGGTGTGCTAACACATATGAACCAGTAAATTAAAGGTGCTCAGGGCTTGTATCATCAGCGGCCTATCCAAAAAACCATATACCTCGTCTGCTGCCATCAGAGCTTTTAGCACTGGCTCTTCTCTCTGGTGGCGGGCAGCCACTGGAGCCTGCTGGGACAGAATACACCCCACTGGGTCTGGCAGTCTGTGTAGGGGAGGCAGCTGGATGTACATACGTGGATCACCCCCACAGTGTTAAAAATGAAGTATTATTTTTTTCCTAGAAGGAAGAGAGGAGTCATTGCTTTTGGGAGGAATACAATATGTGGAAATCACTAATAGCAACTCAGTAAGAATGTAATAACCTGACCACCTCCTGTCTAGCATTAAGATTTCATGATTTTTTAGAAAAGAACTAAAGGAAGATTTTCAGAAGTGTTCAGAATTCACTTAACTTTGCTCACATGTATGCTGAAATAATTTTTACTCCCAATTTTGTACTCATAATTTGATAGAAACAGAGGTAAGACATCCCAGAGGGCTTTTGAAAATCTTCTCATGAACTTAGAAATTTTGCCACACTTTGCATGGTCCTCCCTTATATTATTACAAATTTCCAGCTCCCAAAACCAATACAAGCATACCCAGGACTACACAGGGAGAAACCTGTTAGAAATAAAGCTATGAAGGGAACTAAAGTGATGGCCACACAAGTGGCAGTCCGACTGTTGCATGTACTATCTTACTCTGAATGTGTAACTTTACCTCCAAAATGCTGTAAAAAACCTTCTTGCTTGTCTGCTTATAAGCTTCTGTTAGAAGCATTTTACGTTTTAAAAGATTGCTATTTGACTGTCAGTGCAGGCTAGGCTGATTGAAAGCTGTTGAAAGTTTATCATGTTTTAAACGTACCGGTGGACAAGCAGAGATTGCTTCAGGATTAAGTGTTTGAGCAGCTGCAGCGCAGACATCACCCACTTGCTCACTGAGCCTTCGTTGCAGGCTGTTGTTCATAGAGGCTGTTAAAGCCATGTAATATTTTACTGCAACCCACCCCCCCACCCCCCTATTTTGCAACAGGTTTATTAAAAATTGTCACAGAGCAACCAAAAAACTTAGGCAATATTTGAGTGAAGCCTGTTCCTGCAGGGAGACCTCCACCAAAGTGTGAGGAGCAGGCTGAGCTCAGCTCAGCGGGTTGAGGTGGTGCATAGGGAGCAGAGAGGTTGCATCCAAAGCGTACACCTCGAGGTGGAGGTGATGGGCAAGCAGCAGGATGGTGTTGGTGAGCATGTGTTGACTGCAGCTGTTCTGATAGCAATGACACTTCAGCTGCATGAAGGCGGTAGTGGAACCAAGAGGCAGGTTGTGTCTATGTGCAAATGGTCTCAGGCTGCTGCAGCAGTCCCTAAGGACCTGCTGCAGACCCCATTGCCATGTGCTTCAAGTCATCCATAGGTTTCTCCTGACATTCACGTGGTCCCAGTTTGGGCACTGTCAAAGCCAGTGTCACTGCCTCTGCTTGTGTGTAGGGTGTGGGTTGCGAACCTGGGCTGTGGTGGCCTTCTCCTGTGTCCCCAACAGCAGACAGGGTACTGCGGCTGTGTGTGAAGATCCTCCACACCTGATGTCCTGGTGGAAAGCACTGTGGAGATGCACGTGCAGTGCTAGGAGCAGCCATGTGGAGCTGCACATTGGGTGACAAACCACATGCCCAGGCTGATCTGCTTTGGGTCCTTCACAGAATTATTTTTGGTTAATTTATTTCCCTTGCTACCCCATGTAAGCCATTTGCTGTGCTTTTGAGATAAATGAGGCCAAGTCTGTAGTGAAATAAAAATGTGAAACTAAAGTACAGCCTGGGCAAGGTGTGTTAGTACTTGAGGTAAGTAACCCATAGAGGGAAACCAATCTTGATATATGTCAAAAACTTCTCACTGAGGTTAGTCACATACAGCCAGTCCCTGTGTGAGTGCTTGGCCCATATCTCCCCATTTACACACTGTAAACACATTGGGTGCAGTCCCAGCCCTGTGCAAGCTGACAGTGGAGCTTGTGATGACTTCTTCTCCAAGCACCATCTGGCAAGGGAGCAGCACAATTGTCCCAAGTGCCTCTGGGAGCTGTGAGGTTATGACAGCTATCAGTGGCTATGGAAATTAGAATGAGACACATGTTTACTCTAAACTGAATCTGGATAAATTGTTCTTATCAGCACATTGCCATGTCTTCGTGGCTGGCCTGGGAAATCCCAGCCCCTCTAGACCGGGCTGCCTCTTCTCTCCAGCCTTGCTATACTGGGGTGTTGTACACAGTTTCCATGTGAATCCTTCTTGATTTAAAAAGTAGTTTCAGAGCTACTTTTCTGTGAATATTTCCTCCCCCAGCTCACCCTCAAACACTTGTGTGGAAAGTAGTTTAATGTTTTGGGGGATTTCACTGCTTGCATTTTTTTTTTTTTTTAAGGTGAAAGTCAAATAATGAACTTTATTGCTTGAAGCCAGATTTCTAATCAATAGACATAGAAGAGAAAAATCCTTTATGCTATATAGGAATAAATCCTAAATGCTATAAAGGAATAAACACACTTTAGTGCTTTAGGAATGGGAAAATATATTTTTCAACTTATCATATATTTGCTTAAGAAAACTGCAAAGCACGTCAAAGGGTTTGATGTACAGGCCTTAAATTTGGCTGTATTAAAAGCTGTGGATGTTTTGGCAGGTATAATGTGTGTTGGCATGGCAATTCCAACACTTGAAATGAATTAAAAAAAAAAAGAGCTTACACAAAAACTTTTTAGAAGTTAGAAAATACTCCTGCCTTAGTTTGTTTAGTGTCTTCAGCTGTCTTCATCACCTGGCGATCTGAGTGCCAGCCAAGGAGTGCAGTAACTTGCCTGGCTGCTCGCTGTCAGTTATTGTTCGTGTTTTTTCTCATGAGAGAAGCTGAAGAGATGCTGAAGATGCTGTTTGAACTTTTAAAAAATGCTGGGTTTTCTCAGAAATTAAGCCTTTATATGAATCTGTTTTTTCTTTTGTCACATTTTTTGATCATTTAGTTTCCTCTCCTAGTGGCGTAGTAAATGTTGGTGTTGTATTGTGAGCAGTATCAGATGATATCAGCTCCTGCCTATCTGTTAGCAGCTGAAATAATTTTGGTTTTGAAGTCAGTGGCAAAACTCCTGTCAAAACCAAGGGGCATATCCTGCTCAGGTTCTCCTTTACTGCTGTGTCATTTCCCCAGACCTCTGGAAATGAGAACTTTTGGAGTTGGAAATTAACCTGTGCCTTGGCTGAGGGATGTGGTCAGCCCTTCCCAGGACAGGTCCTGCTGGGTGTGGGGATACGTGGGGTCTTCCTTCACCTCCCACAGCCAGGTGGCTTGGCTGTGCTCTGTTCCTCACCAGGAACATGCTGAGGTGGAGAGTGGCTTTGCTTTTCCAAGGAGTGACGCCTGGCTGGCTGCCGCAGGATGGTGGCACAACAAAGGCTGTTGAGCATCCAGCTTGTTTCACATGAACCACACACAGAGACCAAGACACTGAGTGTTTCAAAGTCTAACCCACATCACAGTTGTTGGAGATTACTGTCCTAGGCGTGCTGTATTATGCAGCCCAGGCACACTAGGACTTTGGGGCTGGGCCTCATCAGTGGGTAAAGCATCATGTGGTGCAAGGGTGAGGGGGAGCCCATGCAGGGAGGTAAGCAGGAATTCACACCAAATTCCTGATGCAGAATGTTAACGATATGAGTCACAAGCTTGGCCTTTGAACCTTTTTTCTGTCTGAGCAGAGAGGGCAGGACAAGCACCTAGAAAAGCGGTTATTCAGTTGTATATTGCACAGTCTGGCATGCAAGGGATATTACTGTGGACTGACTTAAGCACCAGCACTTATGTTCAGGTGTCCTAGCTGCATTGTGGATGGAGGAGAACATGGTGGCCAGGAAGCAGGTTTTAGTTTGCTTTCTGCTTCAGGCTTCCTACAGGACCACAGACAGATCACATAGCTCTCCATCCTCCTGACTCCGCAATCCTGCCTAGATCAGGGGCCACTGGAAATCTCTCTTCCCCCAGTCATTCCTAAAAAACTGATCTGGGAGAGGCCTTTTGGCATCTCTCTTTCCCTATCATGCAGGTTTCCCTGGTGCATCTGGCCTTGGTGGGAAAGCTGCATGGCAGAGGGCTTGCTAGGGCTGGTGTGTGCCCATGTGGGTCATTGCTGGTGGTACCTCTCCTCCTCCTACCCAGGACCCCCTGCATGGGATTCAGGTGCCAGCACTGGCTGTGGGGCAGGAAACCTGTGGAGTTACTGCCGGTTCCCTGGTGCAGAGCATGCCCAGTGCAGCATGCCACTGGTTTTTACATCAGCGTGAGGTGCTCCCCCAGATGGCAGAGACTTACTTTAAAGTGCTGTTCAGCTGCCTCCCCAAGGATCCTACGCAGAGCGCTGGTCCATGGGCAGCAGCGTGAGCAGGCTCAGACCCTGAGGAGATCTGGGATCTGTCAGGTGGCAGGTGCAGGAACCTATCTCTGTTCAGCATGTCTTCTCCTCCCTCCGCCTTTTCCCTCTTGGGTGGCTCCGCAGGTCTCTGCTTAGCTGGCACAGCAGCACCTTTGCAGCTCAGGATCCCTGAGCCAGGGCCTGTGTCCATCACCAGCAGCAGCTGGCGAGTGGCTCCTGGGGTGGGCTGCCGGGGCAGCTGTGAGCAATCTGCTGAGCTTGGAGAGCAGGTGGCCAGACAACACCCTTCTGCTCTGCCCACAGCAGACCTGGACCAGTGATTTGATACTGAAGCTTTCCAGGTGTGTGTATTTCTACCCAATGAATATTTAAATATTTAAACAAATATGGGAATATGGGCTATGGAAGACAAGGCTGAGAGGCCTTCTAGGGACTGAAACATTCCTCTGGGGTGGCAGTTGAAGCCTGTCCTGACTTAGATGCAAAAAGAGCAAAACTTCCCCCGCCATGGCTAAGAGGATAAATCATGTGTTGGTCACGTGAAAAACCGCAGTCTGAGAAGGTGACTTTACTCAAATCCCTGAGACCACTTTCTACCTCAGTGGCTGGACTCAGGCCCAAAAAGACATGAAGTCTCCCTGGTGGTGGGGACAGTAGGGGACAGAGGAGCTATAAACACTTGTATGTTGTGAACTGCTTCAATACAGCAGTGGTGGTATATACAACCATAAGTACCCCACTGTGGAAAAAAGAAAGAAAATTAGAATTTATGCATCTTAGATTTTTATTAATTTCAGACTAATTACAGTTTAAGTTTTATTAAGATTGACTTGCTATCCTATCTCAAGCAAATTTGAATTAATGTCTGCATGTATTTTTTTCTTTAAGAAGCTAAATTGTTCATGTTTGATGTACATCTGTGAATATACTTTTTAAAATGTTCCACAGTCAATATTTAGGGGATCCCATTTTGGCCAAGAACAGAAGAATGGAGCTATAATTGGGTCTAGGGAAAATGTCAGAACAATGTTGACCTCATGGATATATCTGATATTGATTTATAATAGCAATATGTAAGAAATTAGGGGAAGCAATGAGTATTCATGAAGTTTTCAGATGGCTGGTAATAATCTGTCAACAGCTGTGGTATAGATTCTACAGTGTACCTTAAGTATTAGATGAGCAGCAGCTCGTACATGGTACAGTAGCTGTTTGGCGTAAGACATGCCTTAAAGGGCCATTTTGTGCCATGTGGTGATGGGCAGAGGCATTTCCACAACTCCAGAGAAGTATTAGGAACATGAAGAAGTGTGGTATGCTTCCCTACCCCTCTTTCTGTCCACAACAGGCTATAATTGAGTTTCTTCAAATATCTATCAAGAAATAGGAGAAGAACCCTTGGTGCTTACTCCACAGAGTTGAGACATGCACAGTGCAGCCACTCTTCAGCTGTCACATGAACTGGTGGACACAGGGGCCATGGGTGGACACAGCAGTGATGCCAAGCAGTTGGGTTGCTTCTGCACTCACTTCTGCAAAGACTTTAACCACCAGCAGCATGGTTACTCTGCCCACTGTGTCCTTCACAGCCACCAAATTTCAGTCTCCTCTTTCCCAGCTCTCCCCTGCCCACTTGGAGCTCCCTTGCAAAGCCCCTGAGCTCCTGAGCACCACAGGGGTGCTCCTTCTGGCCACTCATTTCACACAGCCCTGGGGGACTGGACACAGAGGACAGAAGAGAGCTGCACGGCTGTCTCGGGGAGGGTATCTGCTTGCTGGAGAGGAAAAAGGTGCTACAGAAAGATGAAGCAAAGCATGATGATATTAACAGAATCAGGCAGAGCCTTAAAGTATTGATCCATTTTACTCTTCATTTCCAGATCTGATTTCTAGGAGAAAATTGAGATCAATTTTACCTTACTATAGGCATTTTTCTGGCTTGATATTGAATCCTGGGTGATGTGATGTTGAAGGATCAAATGCATTGTATATTATGTCTCCTATGCATATTTTTATACACTTTCTGTCCTTCCTTAAAATCCACCTTGTGACATTTACTACGTTTCCTTTGTAGGGTCTCTCGGGACAGCTGGTCGGGTTTGTAACCAAACCTCCCGTGGCATGGACAGCTGTGAAGTGATGTGCTGTGGGAGAGGCTATGACACCTCCCGTGTCAGCAGAATGACAAAGTGTGAGTGCAAATTCCACTGGTGTTGTGCTGTGCGCTGCCAGGACTGCCTAGAAGTCGTAGACATTCACACCTGCAAAGCACCAAAGACTGCTGGCTGGATCTCCAGGACATGATGCACAGGCTATTGATTCGTGAGGACCACAGCCTTTGCCCTTCCTGGTCTGTGCAGGGAATGCGTCCAAGTTCTTCTCTACTTTTATGCCAGTTTTGCCTTTTTCTTTCATTGCACAGAAGCTGCTGAATAATTAATACAAACTCTGCAACATTTACTTCCCTTTTCTTCATGAGAGTGTTGCTGCAGAGTTGTCTGTGCATAAACTAATGCAGCTCTGGAAAAACGTACTTCTGCCAGGACTCTTCCAACTAACACACAACTGTCCTCTGGCCTCCTTGTGGCAATTCATTCCTGCCACCAGGAACACAGCAAAACGCAGAGATGGGGCATTTTGTACAAGACCGCCACCACCAACTGCATGGGCTGAGTTTGCTCAAGCATCTTCTCAAGGATCCTGTGCTGGTCACAGTCTTGCCCTGGATACTGAAGTGCTCAGGAGTTTGAGCACCAGTTGGCAATTCCTCTGTGAGAGAAAATGTGGGGCCAGGCTGGGTGAAAGGCTTTACTGGAGGGGTGTTTGTCCATCCCCAGTGGACTGGAGTTTGCAGTGAGGTGGCCACCTGAGGCCAACTCAGCCACCCTTACACGCTGTGGCTTTCCGTGGAGCAGAAATTGGCCCACGGTGAAAAGCAAAGGAAACGGCAGGATATGTATTCAACCACAACATTTTCGTAAGCTATTAAAGAGTCAAAGCAAATGTCTTAGTTATGTATTTGTGAAAACTTGCCTTAAAAGCTTTTAAAAGGTTGTTAATATTAACTGCTGAGGTTTTTTGTGATCTGAAGGGTCAAAGAGAAGAGATTTGTTTCTCAGCCTAGTGAGAGCTGGGCATAGGACGTTCAACTACCTAAAGATAAGGTTTCCTATTTTTCACTTACTGAATAAGCAGAAAAACATTCGCAGAAAGCTGATGGAGAAGGAAATAATCTTGTCTCAGTAATGATCGGGTTTCTAAAGATTCTATCAACTTCTATGTTCTTTGAAATTTAATAAATCTATTAAATGTGTTCAGAAGGATACTTTCCATTCAGATGGGAACGTCCAAATGAGATTTTCTCTTAATACTTTCGGTGAAAACTTACACCTGTGATTAAGAGTGTATTGGCCTTTGGTGGAGGCAGTTACAGGTTGTGTCAAGTCCATATGCTGGGCTGGGATCAGCACAAAACAACAAAGTGCTGGGAAGATGTGCAGGCTCATGCAGTCCAGAAATTGTAGCCTCACTGGAGGGGACCTGGGTCAGAGAAGGACCAGCTGCCCCTCTTCAGAGAGATAAGCAAATGAGACAAGACAAAAGATGGGTCCTGTGCCGGTAAGTCTAATAGGCTCTGGAGAAGCACCCATGAAGTTCAGAGACAGGGAAAGTAATGAAAAAATAACATGGGAAAAGAGGTTGAATGAGTGATAGAACATATTGTAGATGCAGGTAAAATTTCTAAATGAAAATGAAAAAGACTGGAGGAACCCTAGCAGGGACAAACAGTGCATAAAAAAGTAATATACAAGTAGTATATGGTGGCAATTGAGTACTCTGGTTATGTGTTTTTTTTAGAAAAAAGAATAGGGCTTTGCATTCAGTGGTCTTGAGAGAGGAGACATTTACACTTGAAAGGCTTTGGAAAAAGTTTGTATCATTAAAATAGGCAAGTCATCACCAGGAGGCACAGCTGGCATTAGAAGATTAGTAGGATCCAGAAAGGTATTTGTTTGGACTATAATGTTTCAGTTACTGTATATGGCTTTAATGTAATGATCATGGCTAGAATTAAGAATAATCACACTTCTGTGTATAAACCAACTGGTAGTGGGAATAGCCCTGTCAGCGTGTTAGTGTACAGTGTGTGTGTTACATGTGCACATGCAGTGTGCATCTATGTACACACGTTCCGTTCAGTGGTTACACTGTTGGCCTCATTATTGCTGGCAATTCTAGCTCTGGGCTGGATAAGGAAAATTTCATACATAATTGTATTTAAAGGTGAGCTCCAAGGAGTATTTTTATAAGGATTTCATTGTGAAATTAAATCCGCATGTAGTACACAGCCTGAGCAATGTCACATTTTAAGCCTTAAATTTAAAGAACTTAAAAGCAATAGAATACTTTTTAAGTTTGGGTTGGTTTTTTTTAAGATTCAGGGACCCTTTGAGTAGTCTACAAATTCCCCATGTAGTGAAGCTGAAACTATTTCAATGTTCTGGAAAAAAAGAAGCCTCGTTCTTACGAGGGAACTTGTTCTAGGCAGTTGAATAAAAGGTGATGAAATGATACTGCTTCTTAACTCCATCATTTGGTTAGTACACCAGAAAACAAACCCACCTGAATTCTGAAGTCCCATGTAAAGTGTTTTGGGGTCATTGTATTAAAGGTGGAACTTTTATATCCTCTTCCTCCACCAAGGTACATCTTCCTGCTCCAAACATTCCCCTGGACTCAGTGGCTTGTGGTTCCTGAGGGCTAGTCTTACCAGTAAGTCTGGGAGGATGGTGGCATTGAGTACCTTGGCCTTTTTGGTGTCCTTTGTCACCAGATCCTGTGCTCCATTCATCAGCATGCCCACCAAACGTGCACACAGCAGGCTGAATTTTGTATTTCACACAAATGCCGTATTAATAAGCTGCAATACAATGCTGCCACCAAACTTGCTTCACCAGAGGAAAACCAGAATGTTTTATAACAGAACAAATGTGTAACTGCTGAGCTGGCCAATTACTTGACTACATATTTTTTTTCTGTATTTATTATTAAAAAAAAAAAAAAAAGAGCTCAAGGTAGGCTTCTTGCAGCTGTAAGCATTTCTGCTGCCTCTTCCATGAAGAAAGCACTCCCAGAAGCTTTTGCTATTTCTTAGTGGGAAAAGACACTCAGAGATATAAATATTGCTAGGAACGGCACCTTCTTGACCTTCAGCTCATCAAACAAAGAAAAAGAAGGAAAAAAAAAAAGAAAAAAGATAAATAAGGCAAGGCAAATGAAATAATCCTAGATTTTGTTCTATGGAATAAATTTACTCATGTATTTAGTCATGAAGAGGAAACAGCTGTCCCTAGGTAGATGCTTTAGTGTCAGAATAATGTTAACTGAGGCAAAAGGTTGTAGGATTTTTTATTTTTTTTTTTTTAAATATGCAGTCCAATTTTCTTGTGGGAGTTCCTTTCAATTTGTTGCATGAAATCACAATATAGCAGTGCTCTGAAACGCTGTTAGCCTGCCAAGCTTTTCGGGATTGCTCCCTCCCCACTATTTTTTTTTTAACAAACTTTACCCTAAAAAGTGTGTTGAGCTGTTTTAAGAGAAATCTCATTTAAAAAGTATAATTTTCTTTTACCGCATGGAAAATAGAGAATGACTTTAAGGAATAACCTTCTTTGCAGATGTGAATTAGAAATCAAATACCCCATTTCTGGTATGGTGCTGCACAGCTGCTGATCACACCTGCACTCGCAAGCAGCTGGCAGTCTCTGCCTGCGGGCTTCATGCCCATCCTCTTACAAGACTAGGCCTATGGTGGCAAAGGGAAAACGAACGTTTTACTGGGGAGTAGTGAAGATCTGGGGCTGGGGAGGGTGCTTCTGCTAGGAAAAAACAGTGGGGCAGCAGGAAGTGTGCTGACACTTGCTCATCTCTGTGGGTTTTGCTTTGCACTTTCAGGAAGGGCTACAGCCTGTGTGTGCAGGCGACAGCCTCCTCTGAGGGCAGAGGTGGTTTTGTGGACACATATAAGAGCCTGCAGGTTCCTCCTGCCACTTCAAGCAACGCAAGTGAACTTGTACTGTTATCTGAAAGACAGCAGCAGTTCGTGGGCTGTGATCACAAACATGCATAGGGGTTTTTTTGTATAACAGCTCCTTTTGGCTGATTAAATGAATGTGAATTCATAATGTAAGATCTTCTCCTGTGTGAAAGATGCCAATGTGTATGAATCAATATATTAACTGCTCCTCCTTCATTGTTCCAGGGTTGCCAGTCTGCTCCCTCGGCGGTGGGAGTTGGGCAGGAGCCCTACAGGGAGCTGGGTGGCGCGCGGGCTGGGGCTACCTTGCACACTTGCCTTACCTAGCGCCGCTGAGGCTCTCAAGCCCTCCGTGCAGTGACAGCCACAGCGGGCGTGAAGGGGAGCGTGCGGTGTGTGCAAGGGGTGCAGCTTCCTTTGGATATTCACCTTCTGTGGGCTTCCTGATGCTCTTCTTCCTTGCTACTGGGGTAAGGACTTCTATGCTATCCCACTGAAAAATCAGAGCCTGTGTATTCAGCGTTCACACCAAATTCCAGCAAACAATGGACCACCAAGAAAACAACAGCCTTTCCTAGAAGCAGCACTAACCTCTCTGAGTGTGGCTCTTGCCTTGGAGCAGCTGTAAATCTTCTTGGTGGGAAGGCCATGAAGTGGCCAGTTTGACTTACCTAACACTCCCGGGGGTCTCTCCTTTTTTTGTTGTAGGCAGGTTACAGTGTAAAGAGATAGCATGTGTCCAAATTGTCTTTAAAGACAAAACAAGGAACTGTTAACCTTTGGAGTTAAAAAGCTCCCCCCTGCCCTCAAATCTGCAAACTGAAGATTTGGATGAGTTATTATCTGGACCAGATTTCCAGAAGGCTCATCTCTGCACTAAGCCAGAGGCTTTCCATCATTATAATCATGGGCTGTGTTTGCCTTTTGATCTAAGTCATGCTGAACTTCACAGGAAATGTCAGAAGCAGAAAAGCCTAAGGCAAGAAACCCCGACCAATGGAAAAAAAAAAAAAATCATTTTGTCTGATTTGCCTGGTCTCCCAGATGCCTAGAATTATAATTAAAGCTAAAGAGCTATTTTCTAGATAAAATCCATGGCTCATTACTGCTTATAAGGGAGATGGATACTAGAAAAAGTAGAAATAGAATTGCAGAAACATATTTTTGAGTTCCTAAAAGTTTCCCATAGTTCAAAGGAAAGATCTGATTGTTCCAGGAGTTAAGGATTCCTTTTTATCAGATTATTACTGATAGTAATTCCCACACA